AGGTCTGCTCTCACGGCTAAAAACCGAACCTTTTTTAAACGCGATTATAACAGGCGATAAAAAATCGGTTACTTATGGCAATATCGTCCTGCACTCGTCAATTCTTCTACTCGATAATGCGCGATCGCATACAGGAAGGATGACTCAAGAAAAAATTCTTTAGCTTGGATGGTCTGTCTTATCATGTCCATCTTACTCCTTGGACCTTGACCTTGACCTTGACCTTGACCCATAGACTACCACCTTCTCTGTTCGTTACAAAACGTTTTGAATGGAGAAGTCTTCAATTTTGTAGAGCAAATCGGGCAGGTTGTCGAAAAATTCCTTCAGCCCAAACCAACCACATTTTACAAGAATGGAATTGATGAACTGTCAGGAACATGGAAGAAGGTCATACATAATAAATTAATATAAATTTGTTATTGTTTATGAAAACAAAATAAATGTCGGATAAAAAGATGGCAGTTAGTTATGACTCGACCTAATACATGTTACATAGAAAGTGTTAAGATGTACACTGCAAATCTTTTATAACGGGGCAGACGTAACGATATCCAAATCTTCCTTCCTCAAGAAAAGTTTGTCATATAATCTTTGTGATTATATGCAAAAATTTACTGATCATTTGTTGCAGGCATGAGAGAAAGGGGAAAAGCAATTTATGCTAAATTCTTGCTTATAAGTAATGCAAGTCCTTGAAAAATTGAAAAAACCTTTTAAAATGTTTTTGATTTGAAGGTGATATGAATCATAAAATAAAGTGAAGATGTCCTTCTACTGGCATTAGCCATTCAATCCGTCGTGACTTGCAAGCATTGCTAATGCTCGAAACTTGACTTAACAAAATTGATACTAGCACTTAAAAGGAACATGCAATAATAAGAATTTGGGCTCGCTGTTACTATCTTGCATCACATTCCTTTAAATGATTTGAAGTATTTGTGTAATGACTTTCCTTTAAAGATAGTGAAGATAGAAGAAGATAGCATAATATAGCAATGGAAACATATATGACACACGTTTCGTCACGAGAGGAAGAAAGTCAAAAATTTATTCAAATATTCGCTTTCGTTTCAAGACAAAAAATTAAGCCAATCAGACAGACAGACGGTCAGGCAAGCTTATACCGATTCAGAAAGCATTACTAAATCGATCGATATGATAAAAGTTGGGCCGAGCTCAAGTTCGTCTGGGTGTTGCATACACATCCACACAAGCCTTGCTGGCTATACAAATTTTTGAAATATCTATGCAATTGATTAAAAAAAAAATTCGATATCTCAATTTAAGAAAAATGACTCGGTTTCTTAATATTTCGAAGCAAGTGTACAAGTGCAAGAGCTCTATGCGAAATTTAAATTTAGTTTAAACTGCTTAATTATACCAACGCTTATGTACGTAGTTATGCAAATAAGTCCACATCACTACAATGTATTCGCTTTTATTTCTTGCTTCTATCGATCTGTATCTATATATAGCTATATAGAAAATATGTTTATAAATTCATATCACATCTTGGATAAATCACGCATGAAAAAATTTTTTTGAAAAATGTTTTGAATATTTTCTAACAATGATTCGCATGTTCGGAAAGACGGCATTAATGACGGACTGACTGCTAATGCTAAAAATAAATGATCAAAATTTGAATTCTACGAATACCTTTAATAATTTAATTTCTTTCATTAGAGAGAATTTCGAAAAAAGAAAAAACAGCTTAAACAAATGAATATTCTATGCAAATTATTTATTTTGGTCATAGTGTGTCCATAAAATGTTTCATTAGTTTCTGTAGTCCCCATTATAAAAACAAGTCATATTACCATAATAACTATGAAACACATCACCATCGGCGTAAGATGCTGAATTGCAATCTTCATTTTCGATCGATCACCGAAGGTTGCGGGATATATTTAATTTGTCAAAACGTATGCAACGCCCAGGAGGATGCATCAGATACCCCACAAAGTATGCATATTTACTTGATCAGCATCGAATCCTAAAGCGGGTCTAACCATGCCCGTCTATCCTCTTCTGATCGTCTCTCCGTCTGACTGTGTGTCCGTCTGTCTAATGTGTGTTGTAATATTCTCCTGGCCGCAAAAATTGAGCTATCGACTTTAAATTTGAGAGAAACAGTGGAAGTTTGTGTACGCAGGTTGTTATTAAAAATGGGCCAAATCAGTCGAAGAACACGCCCAAAGTACCACGTGAACGGAGAATATTTCTGCTTTTCAAAGCAAATCAAAAATTAATTGTTTTGTGCTAATTACCTCTAGAAACTGTGGGAGATAAATGTACAAAATTTTGTGCACAAAAATTTAAAAATATTGACCACGCCTACTCAATATTATAGGGTATCAAAATTTAATTATTTTTTTAATACCCTGGCATAAGCTTCAAAAACCCCATAAAGTACACAAATTCTTTGGCAATTGCAAACCCTGAACGCACCTAAACATGTCCCGCTCACGGATAAGAGGATATCGCCTACAAATTTGCAAAAGAATTTGGAATTGACCATATTGCAGAGAATGAAAATTTTGTTCTTTTACTTCTTTTGCCATTCTTTCGGGGTAGACGGTGATATTTATGAACGATTCGGTCCCGACCGAATTTAATTTTCTTACTTACTCTTCTTCATTCATTCGGATGCCATACATTATCAAAATTGTCCAAGTAAAACAAATTCGGAAAGAAACTTAAAGTTGTTGTTGCTTTTTAATTAATTTAAAAAGCTACTATCGCACCTGTCATCGTTACTTATTATTACACAAAAAGCCTACAAACGTCAGATGCCTATAAAACGAATTAAAAAAAAGAAAGAAAGAAACTTTCCCTTAAATCAGTCATAATCATAATTCAATTATGATTTTGATCACGTCTTACAACTTAATACACATAAGAAAGCATTATTATCTTTTTTTATTCTATCGAGGAGTGTATGCTAGATTTACGCTCCCCTTTGTAGCAACTAAGGAAAATCGTATAAAACGTGTATAGTAAGTATATCCTCTGCATACGGTTCCAAGTGGATGCTGTACATGACAGTGTGTGCGAGTCCGAATCGAGTTTAACGCGTCTCTTTAACATCTTTTCTATATCGTTGGAAAGCTTAGAATCGTAGAAATTCAAGCAGATTTGAATTGAAAACTGGTCTCGTCCACGCACAGCTATATAAAAAGCGATAAAAAACAAGTAATTCGGTTAAAAAATTGAAGCAAAGTTTTTTAAAAAACGTAGTTAAAGTATTTAACTTATCATCATCATTTTGATACCCACCACCCAACACCACCACGAGATGGTGGTAAATGTATTTTGTTTTTTTTTCTTTTTTTCATAATGCATGTGACACCAAAAGGGGGACCTTCTTGATTGAGTGTGAAATTCTGAATTTATTAAGCCATGTCTGTCCGTCTGTATGATGTTTGTTGCTGTTGGTCGCAAAAATGAAGACAACGACTTCAAATTAGAAGTTTTTACAAGCAAGTTGGTATTGCAAAAGGGAGCCAAATTGATCAGATATCGGCCATGCCCACACAAAGTTACAAGTGATTAAATTGTAATTTTTCCACGTTTTTGAGATTTAATGCGTATTCATTATATAAGGCAAGCAAGACAGAACGTTTAAAAGTATTTTGTACACTCCCGACATAAATATACATATTATCTGCCTAAGATTGAGGATTGATTCTAAAATGAATAGGGTAGACAGGACAAATGAATTTTCTCTTAATAACACCAGCGATATGAGTATCAAATAACAGAACTTGGAGAGTAGAGTGCGAAAGGCCTAGTGATGGATATGCGAGATTCGGCTGCCGCCGAATATAACTTTCTTACTTGTTTTGTTTTTGTTTTTCTTTTTTCATAGAAGAAAGGTTACTTTGTTACCATGTTCAAAAGTTGGCATGTGTACCGTGCTATGGAATTGTTTTAATGGCTTGAATTTCTCTTCGTTCAGTTTTATCCGCATTTTATAATAAACGCAAACATTTTCATTTTTCTTATGCCCAGCACCGTTTGTGGAACAGAGAGATTTAGGTTTGTGTGGACTTATAATCTCTCTCTGTAATACCCAGAAGGACTTATATTAAATTCGATTCAAAATCGTTTCAGGTGATCCGTTTGTCTGTCTTATGTCTGTCTATGCATTTTTATGTTTGCAGCCTGCAAGCCGTTAATTTCTCGTTACATTGGCGGGCTTACGCCCAAGAAAGATTTCTGATTGAAAATGGATTGAATCGACCACTTTTGCGGCCACTCCTCATATAACATTTTACTTTGACAAAATTTGCAACTTTTAAAATTTTCTAAGAAAAATCGCTTAATAATAGTATGTGCATAGGACGTGGTAAAGACGTTCCAATGAAAACAGAGTTCGCGTACGTCGCAAAAGCGTCTAACTTTTAATGTATCTTGGTGAAAATTGATCCCTAATTGAACATGAAAAAAACGTTGCACAAAATTTGTTCTACTAAGGTCTAGTATTTACATCTCGCACTGCGTAAGAGTTCCCATGAGAAGCCGACTCTTATATGCTTAAAAGTACAAATGTTTTAAGCAGCCCTACATCTAGAATTTCTCATAGAAAGGAAGCCGAACATAACGAAAACGCCTAATATTTTATTTTTGGAAATTGGTCTTTAACAGTAATTCGACATCAAATATGGATCACATAGGACTTCGATATATATACGATGTTTGATAAGAAAGTAAATTTTGCTAAATTCGAGCGACGTCCGTTCAAATTTCAGATAAGCTCTCATACGAGGGCTGATATCAAGAGTATACTTTAACATGAAAACATAGTACGACATCAAAAGGATCGTCGTGCTCGACTATAATTTTTATACTCTAGACAACTTGTGATACAGAGTGTATTAAGTTTGTGTGAACGTTTATATATATAATTTAAATTAATTTTATAAATTTATTCTTAATTTTTCAGTGCATATCTGATAAGCATTTTAAGTAGAATTTTTCTTTGCATTTTACAGGGCCTTGAACATTTAATGTACAATTTAGGGTTGGGACAAATTGAATTTGATGCCAGTCACACTATTGATGAACATCGGCCTCACGGCTATGAGAAACGATCAGAAAACGATTCAATTATTAAATCGTTTATAGAAGAGCAAACTGTTAAGTTACTATCCGAAGATAATGATGTTCAGATAAGAGACGATCAAATTAATAATTATGTTAAAAATCGGAAAGCGTCCCAGTCCTTAGACGATAATCATAAGAAGCAGGACATTATACGAGTGAAAGGTGTTATACTTGAATTTAAAGAAATGCATGATCCGAAACATAGACATCCAAGAGAAGATGGTAAGTCTTTTTGTTCGCATTTTTCCTTTTTTTTTTTGATTGCAAAATTATTGCGTTTCACAAAGATAATGAAACGTGAAAAACGCCAGGGCAAGATAATCATTGAAATCTTATCTTACTTATGTAACGGGCATCATAAACATAATAAAAAACGAGATCGAGTTAACGTTGCCGTTGACAATGCTGACGACTATAATTCGGTTAATTTTAAAAATGTTGAAGAAAATTTTTTATCTTTCGTCGACTATAAATTACTTACCTTATAACGGTACGAATGTAGTCAGTTTTAAATGTTTTTAAACATGCTTTGCACGTATGGAGGAATAACTTAAATGATTGCTTAGATTAGAGCATTTTTTACTTCTAATTAAATTTTTTTTTTATTCATTATATATTTAAATATTTATTTATTTTTTTAATATACGTTGAAATGAAACTGCACGAGCTTTACCTGATATATGTTCATACATCAATTCCACTAAACTGTAACTAACAGTAACACGTGAGGAAAATTATACTATATTATAAAAAAATAAATAAAATTAGGCTTTTTTTTTAGCGTAAAAGAATCCTTATTACGGATGGACCTACGTGGTCCATTTTTCGGTAAGGTAGATTTCTGCGTCAATTTACTATTATGAGCTAATTTTCACCATGAAATATTGGAAATTTGAACCTTTTACTGGTTTACTGTAGATTTAATTTTCGCAGGAACGGTTATATGAGAGAGGGTAAAAAAATATTGCCCCAATCGGTCTATAGTTTTCACATCAATTCAGAATGATGAATTATGACTACTTAGTCGTTTTTGCCGAGAAAAATATTTTGAAAATTGCAATTTGTTCTCATATACGGACTTTGTAGCACACGGGGAGTGGTCGAAAAAGTGCATAGATCCATTTAGTGCACCAAATTTCATCAATATATGTCAAAAACTGAGATCTGTAGCTTGAACATAAATTTACATGGGCAGACATCAGGCGAATAGACGGACAGACAGGATTAGATAAATCCACATTAAAAGGTGGATCTATCTTAAGCCCGCGCAAACTTAATATACGCTGTGACACCAGTGGTGTACGGTACAACAAATAACTACCTATAATAAATGAAGTGGTCAAGTAACTTTAAAAGTCCAATTATATAGACTTGCGTACATTAAACGGTAAACATATCGACTCGATTAAACATCCAAGTATAATTTGAGATTCGCTTCCCCGATATCGGGGTAATTCAAAAATTCATTTGCAGCTTAGATTGCCGCAAGCGAATCTCATGATAATAGCATTGTTTGTAGCATGTAATATCCCGCTATATTGTTGACTTAAACTTAAGCTTTTGCGTCCAACCACACATATATAAATGTTTACTTTTTTTTCGAAAGCGCTACGCAATCTAATTAAATTGTCGTAGTAACATTTATAGCTAGCTAGCTAGCTTAAGTTGAAAGGCGGTCCAAGCGGTATAAGAGAACTCCTAAAATGAATATCTTTTATAACATTGACATTGATGTAATAATGTGATCGTACATCAATCAACTGAAGTCCAAGTTCAATTTACGCCAATCAACCTAAAAATTAAACAACAATGCTAATTATAATGACAATAAACTTAATACCAACTACTTGCTTATCTTTGCACAAAAGTACAGGTTTACCTTGCATATGCATACATAAGAATACATCCATTTTTATACGCATCACCGAAGGATGAGGGGCATATTCATTTTGTCAAAACGTTTGCAACGACCTGCAGGAAGTTTCAGAGACGCCACAAAGTATATATATGTGTTCTGAGTCAGCATCAAATTCTAAAATGAAAGCCCGACGCGATTGTAAGGATGCGGCGGTGACTGAAAGTAATTTATAAATCCTGCACCCCTTCTTTTGGATATCACAGCATATAGGAATTCTCATGAAGCGTGAATCCGCATGTGCCAAAAAAGCCCAATTGTTAATTTTTTGAAACAAAAATGTAGGAGCTCCCTTTATGGGAGGGACCACATGAGTCTATTTCTTCCGCCGCACGCCCGCATCAGACATATCACCATATTTTAAGAATTTATAGGAGCGTTCTAGCAAAAAAAAATGAACGGCACCGTATTTAGTGCGCATAGGTCCGCATAGCAACCCCAGTTATATAGGCGCTATCACGAAACGCAAGCCCTTATATGGAGAAAAAATCTAACTTACCAATGTCTTTGCGTGAAAATAAATGAGCGAATGACTGCACTAGGTGAAGTGGAGTAGGGCATGTAATAGTCGGCAATCTCCGACTATAATGTTCTTACTTTTTTTTGTATTTATTTTCATTACTAGTTAATGTGTGCATATAAGAAATATATATATATATATATATATATATATATATGTATATAAGTATGGGATATATATATAGGAGATACATAATATATACATACATGCGTATATTGTACGTATATATGTACAATGCGTACATATATCATTTTATCATCATTTGTATATATCTATGTAGAGGTGTATATATATTTTATTTGCTTCTAAACTCCTATGAAAAGCCTCCAATTATAATGTCTTAGTTACATAGCATACGAAGAGGAAAAGCCATGATGAAGAGCACGAGGTAAATTAATTATGAATAATATAAATAAGCATAATATTATACACTATAGGTAACGTTTAAACAACACTATCCATGAATCTATAAAAAGGCTTTCGACTTTTTCTCATTCATATTCATATTCATTTATAAACAATTTTAGAATATAAGAATAGGATTGGGGTGTGGTGCCCAATGTAGTGCGTATACATGTTTTCGTGGGCAAGTTTTTGATACGGACAAAACAGGTATTACTCAGAGTGAATAAACTGCGAAATTTCGATTTTTCAAATTAATTGCTATAAGGTTGAAAGCATCAGCAAGCAGATCAATGCACATGGATGTTGTGAATGACCTTGGAATTGCAAGCATTTTTCATCCATTGTCAAAAAAAAAAGTTTTGTTGTTTATTATCCCAACCAGTTCTATCACTTTCATATCGAAGTTGTTGCCTTTAAATTTCTCTTTAATAATTCACTGAACTTTAGCACTAAACTAAAACAAATAAGAAAATTATATTCGGTCGTCGTGATCGAATCTTTTATGCCCATCACCGTG